TTGTGTGGGACTATGCAAATAAGGCATACGTGGCCCACAAAGCAAAATGGACAGCTCGCTAATAATGCAAATAAAGTGCATAGCACCCTTGTTGGGGTGTGGCCATGCAAATTAGGTGTGTGGAAGCCTGAAGAGGTGGTTGGTCAGTTTTGTCATGCTGTTAGTTTTAAAGTGAGCCAATCCAGAAGAGGAAATGGGGACCTTATGACTGCCAAGGAAGAAGAGCTATGAGTGAAGGGTGTCCTTTGGACCCAGGATCCCTGCACTGGCTGAGACCCTCCTAGACAGAGGACACAAAGAATTGTAAGACCGAAGATGATGAGAGATGGTGAAAACCAGGAGAGCCACTCAGCACTCTCATACCATGGGATACACCATGATTCAAATCTCCAAAGGAGGTCTCTGGAGGAGTCAGGCGTCTCTGAGCACTTACTGGTAGAGCTAAGGAGTTTCATAACACTCGACTGAGCAGGGCAGAGGCCGAGGGTCAGAAAGAGGTGTCTGGAGGGACAGCTGAGAAGAGGCTGTCCTTACCAAAAAACTGCATCCTATGGTCTGAGTTGTGTGTGACCATTGCTACAAATTATGGAGCCCAGCAGAGAAGTAGAGTGTGCTGTGAGTGCGGCTTTTGGAGTCAGAATTGGTAAAAAGGATGGAGCAAGGAGGCTTGGCTGCCCTCCTCCTCATAGGACTCAGCCTTGAGTGGTTTATGCTGATAATGATCTTCCTACCCCGACTTGTGAAGTGAGAGGTGGTCAGAGGTTAGAGGAGGTTGCTGCTACAATTTTACACACATCACACACGGACACCAGATACAGCCCCTACACATGTGGTCGTATGAGTAGCACAGACACATGTTCACAGCACCTGATGACCCCAAAACTCTCAGGCACCCCCCAGACCATGCCCTGCCCTCAGGGTGCTGCAAGGGACCAGCCCTCTTCCTCTGACACAATTTTGGATGAGAGCTATGGGGTTAGGCCTGGTCACCAGGGTTAGGGCATGTGACCAACTCTTGGGAAAACTCAATGCCTGCCCTTACTCCTAAAGATGAAGTTAGATGTCAGGAAGGACCAGACAGGCCTGGTTGCCGCCCCCCTACCCCCACCCAATGTCCACACCTCTCCTAGGTACCTAAGGGCCCAGGTTGGGGTAGGTGGGCTTCTTTGACAAGCCTGAACAATGTCATTAGTTGGCCGGTACTTCTGGCTCAAGGATATTCCTGCTTGCACCCAAATCCAGGGCAGCACACTGAGGTAGGGGTCCACAACCCAGACCCGGTCACAGCCTGAGACCTGGCACCAGCCTCACTTGAGACTTCAGCAGACAGGAGGGGCCAGCCAGCCTGGTCAGACTACAGCCCTGTGACCAGAGCCAGCCCTGGACAGAGGAGTGTCCTTGTCATGTGACTGGGAGCCCATGAACCACTGACCAACAGCAGCCCTCTCCCCTCACCCCTCACCCCAATCTGGCAGACAGCAGGGGTTGAACTACGGTTCTGAGAAGTTAGCCCTGGGGTCAGGCAGTGAGTCCAGCTCGGGCCTCCGCTGCTCTGGGGCATGGAGGGGTCAGCACATCAGGTCGAGGCTATCCAGCATCATGCCGGTCATTCTGTCTCTGAACCCAGCCTGGCGCCGGGAAATGTCTAGACACTCCAGCATCCCAAAGCTGAGTTTTGAAGCCAAGCAGGTTGAGAGGAAGGAGAAAAGCTCCTCCCCAGCCCCACACACCCCCTAAGACTCCCTAGGACCCCACGTATACCATCCAAAGCAGCAGCAGCGCTGGCCCAGCCAATCAATGGTCAGGCCCCCTCCTCAAGCTGGATGGGCACAGGGCAGAGCTGGGGGCAGACTCAAGGGGCCAGGGTCGACTGAAGATGACATTGGGTTCACCCTCCCGTCACTGCTGCGCCCCACTCCACCCCAACACTGAGTCCTCAGGGCTGACTGCACAGGGTTGGCCTGGGTTTGGGCCACTGCAGGCTACACTCTCCTCAACCCTTTTCAACAACTGTCCAGACAGACCCACCCAGCTGCTCCCAACCCCTGGGGGCTCAGTGGAGACAAGAGATTCCAGGGGAGGAACTGCTAAGTGGCTAATGACCTTGATTAGGAGGGCTGTCCAAAGGGAGGGAGCGGAGGCAGACAGGGATGACAGACAGGCTGGGCTGGCCCCTGGCCCCATGCCTCCATCTGGCCCCACCTCGGTCTGTGCTGGCTCTGATCCCATCTGTCACCTCAGTCCCCCTAGAAAGCAAGACCCCCCTTCTGGGCCAGGACATTTGGTGATGACTATCGTGTAGGGACCATCTGGGAAGTCCCCACAGGGTCCTGGAGGATGGGGCAGTCCTCGGATGAGAATGGTGCCAGCATTGGACCCAGGAAGGAGCCCTGGAAACCCCAATGCTTCGAAACACAGCACCTGTGGCCCAGGATCCAAATCCTCCCATCCGATGCCAGCCAAGAAAGTGCAGCGAGACTAAGACTCAAAGGACTACACGAGCAGGCATGTGGTCTGGCTGCTGACCACCTTGGTCACCGATAAGGGGAAGTGAGAGAAAAACAGCAATGACGTTGTAAGCTAAGTCTGACCTCGTTCAATAGACACCTGTGAACCCAGGTGGATACTTGGTTGGCCAGCAGTATGGCAAGGCCCAGGGACTCCTGCGCCCAGAGACAGTGACATGGCCACAGAGGACTAGAGCAGAGAGTCGTGTCCACCTGATACGAAGTGAGGGGACATGCACAAGAACACCCATACTTTCAGATAGTACCCACTTGACCTGACTTCAATGGCTGATCAGAACTCAACTAGAAGAAAGAAGAGGAAAAAAAGAGTAATCTGCTACAATTTGATGAACTTGACCTATACTTATGGATGTAGTAGCTCAAAAGAGGGAATGATCATTCCCACCCCCTCAGTACGCAGGGTTGACAGGGATGGGCAACTTAGACATTGGCTATCCAAAATGGGGGGGGGGCTACAAAGGCACAAAGTGACTAGCTTACAAACTTTCAAGAGGGGGGTCTAGTTCCAGAGTGGGTGGGGAAGGTAGAATCTCCACTGAGTGGTTTCCAATCTTTTGGGACCAGGCTGATGAAAGGAGATGGGGAGAGTACTCTTGTGGTACAATAGTGAATAATTGCTATCAGGACTGACTGTGAGGGTCAGAAATGTAAAGATAGATGTTTTGTAACAAAATGAGGGGAGTGGTTGATTTTGCAGTCCAGGAGGGAGGTCCCTGGAACCATCAAGTAAGAAGAGCAGAGTGCTGCACCCTACACAGAGAAGCAGTGACACCAGAGATGGAGGCAGAGACGATGACGTGGAGAGATGGAGCAGCTGGGGACTCTGGACTCAGGGAGGGAGAGGGGCTGTGTGCTGACGGCTGGGGGGCAGACTTGCGGGGTGTACCCTTTGGTTATTTGATGATGCATGGAGGGGATTGTAATCATGGTAATGAAATGAAATACAATAGGATGAATGTAACACTGGTGTTCTCCCATGTACACTATCACATAATTCACGATAAAAACTTGATGATAAAAAAAAAAGTGAAGCCCCCAGCAGCCCCTGTCCCCCTCAGCTCCTCCTCATTCAGGCCCCTCCACACCCTGGCACCCATCTGTGGCTCCACCTTCCACCTAGCCCAGTCCCTGCCCTGCCTTCTCCATCAAGCCCAGCTCAAAGCTCCTGCAGCATGCCCTGGGTAGGACCTCCTGGGTAGTCTCAGTGTGCCCTCCTCTTAAGGGTGTGGGGCCTGCTCCCTCTTATTAATGTGTGTCAGAGGGGGCGCCAAGCAGAGGACCTTGCTCCCAAGGCAGGGCCCCTCAGGTGAAGCAGGTCAATGCCTGACTTCTGTCTGACTTGGGTGCCTATGATCATAGCAGGAAGTAGAAATTAAGAATGGCAGAGTTAGCACCCCTTCCCAAGCCACTGCCTCCCGTGTGTCCCTCCCGCCCACGGCCTCCACTGAACATCCCATGCAAACCAGGGGGCTAACAGCCGTCACTGTGAAGCAAACTCCCCCTCTCCAGGTGTCCCATCTAGCCCCTAACAGAGAGGAGGGATCAGAGTAAGGCGGGGTCAGCGGTCAACTATATGGGCCAATGCACAGTCCAAGGCTTGGCTCGGTCAGCAGTCCCATTTCCTCTGCAGAAGGACGTCCTGTGTCCCCAGCAGGTGGAAGGTAATGGCTCGAGCCTGTCTTCCAGCTTCCCCTACCCCTTCTGATCAGACCCTCTGCCCCCAGGGTAAAGGAAGCCCCATCAGTCTTGGAAACAGGGTCTCCACACCCTCCTACCACAGAACCTAACTTCTCTTTACCTGGGGTTCCACAGCCCTCAGTCGCCTGCCTAGGAGCTCAGGTGCCAACCAGAGATGCTATCTCAGCTACTGGAGACCACGGGACGTCCCTGTGGCCAATTTACATTCTTTGTCTGGGTTTGCTGGAGCCAGGAAGGGGAGGGGGTTACAAACCCACAGTATTTGGGCCTGTTGGGTTTGCACACTCCTGCTGTAGTGGTCACCACCTCTGCCCTACTCAGCTCCTCACACCCTGCTGCCCGCACCTATTGCCCACCAATGCATGTGGTTCCCCAGGCTGCAGGTGTAGGGCACTGGGCTCCAAATCTGACCCATAAAGGGCTCCCCATTATGCCTTGTGCCCCACATGAAGACACATCCCCAAACTTGCTACCTGCACCTAGGGTACAGGTGCACCCTCCCCGCTGCCCCCTGGTATGGAGTGATGAGTTGCATCAGGGCACCTTCCTGCTAGCCAATGCCCACAGCCTCCAGTACTGACCCTGAGGGACTGGTTCTCAGGGTCAGGAGACTGTGGGAGGCACCATGTCCTTAGCCCCCAGAGGGTCAGCAATAACCAGGCAGCATTGAGGGTGATCACGGGGGCTCGATTCCCCACTCTTTATTGTCAGGACCACAGGTGGCAACAGACGAAGCAGAGAGATGGCTCCTCCTCCTCAGCGGCCATTCTGGGTTCACAGGCCCAAGAGCAGACCTGAGAAGCTGGAGCCGCTCTGGATGGTGAGGGTAGCACTGGAGCTATTGTCCACGAAGACAGAGGCCGACTGCCCAGCCTAGGGGTGACCCCCCCATGAATGAATGTCACAGGTGCCAGGGAGCCAAGAAGCCACCCCCCAAGATGGGAAAGCCACTTGTGCCCGAGCACACGCCTGCTGTCAGTGCCCCACAGCTGATATGATGTGGGGGTGGGGGCAGTGGCAGCACCCTCCCTGGGCCTCAGGGACCTTCACCGGCTCACCTGCAGCTGTAGCAGTCCCTGCACATGAACCGTGAGGACATTGCTATTGCTCTCCAGGCCTGAGACAGCTTCCAAGGACCTGGGTGAGATCCCGCAGTGACACAGATGAGGGAACGGCAGAACCCCCACTCTGAGGGGCCCACCCAGCCCCAGGTCCAGACCTCCCACCCTGAGCGCCTGACCCACACTCACGTGTGGCGATGACAAAGGGATTCAATGCAGATGAGCACTCGGATGATGTCCCGTGTCCGCAGCCGGGGCCTGCCCCTGAGCTCACTGAGGTCTGTGGAGACGGTCCCATGTGCAGTGAACCCCAGGGAGAGCGTGTAATGGGACAGGGGCAGGGACTTGTGGACACACTGCCTGAGTGCTGCGCCCAGGAGTGATCGCCAGAGTTGGGGAGGGTGGGTAGGAGGAGGCCAAGGGCAGAGCAGACCAAGGAGGACCCCAGTGCCCCATCCCACTCCCACCTCCCAGAGCAGGATCCCCTCAAGAAGATACTCCATGCCCCACCTCCACCCCTGAGCAGGATCCCCAATACCCAGACCCACCTCCCCAAATGGGACTCCTTGGATAGAACTACGCCCCTAACCCTGCCCCTCCTGCTCACCCACATGCAGGCTGGCCGAGAACTGGAAGATGGCGGACACAGGGGCTGTGAAGCGCCCCGAGGCCAGGCTTAGGCCTGAGCCCCGCAGGAAGGCACCCTGGGCTGTAGGCTGTGAGGGGAGGGCATTAGCAAGGCTCCTTAACCCCTAATCCTGGTCTCTCAGCACTCGGAACTCCAGGCCTGACCTTCACCTCATACCTCAGTCTTTAGGCTCTCACTTTCAGGGGGAGGCAAGAAGGGCTGGCAGGGTATCTGTGCCCACTGGGCCTCAAGGCCCCAGTGAGGCTGTACACTGGCCCTAAGACACTATAAGGACCACTACATGGACCCTACTTCCAACTTCATGTACATGGGAAAATGGGTCACCCTCATCTTCCAATCCAGTACCACCATCCCAGACCCCACCCAAGCACTCTAACTCTAGTCATCCCCTGACCCCTTCCAGGTCCCCCCAGCTCTCCTACTTACCACCTGAAAACCTTGTAGCTCCACCAGCGTCTTCTTGTCTACCAACACAGGGCCCTTCAGCTGGCAGTGGAAGGCCTCAGAGACTAGACGCCCGCCGGCCCCATCAGGCATCAGAGGGGCCAGCAACCCCAAGAACCTACGCTCAGTGGCCTCTGTGGGGACAAGGTACAGGCGGCCAGTACGGGTCAGCACAGGCTCTGGGTGGTGGGAGTGGGGAATCAGCAGTGGTCTCACCTTGCAGCAGCTCCTGAAATTCCTGAAGAAGGGCCTCCTGGGTGATTTCGGCACCAGGGGGCCCTGGGGGCCCAGGGGGCCCAGGAGGCCCTGGGGGTCCTGAGAGGCCTCGCTGGGGACAGGCAGAAGAGAAGTGAGGGCTGGGGAATAGGGGCTACTGAGCAGACACCAAAGGGGCCAGGAGGGTGGTACTGCACGGGGACTTACCGACTTCTTGTCCCTGGTTCGGCACCGTTTCTTCGAAACTCCATCATCTGGTCGTCGCACAAAGTTTAGCCATGTCATGTGAGCATCTGAGAACTCAGGCCCCGAGGCCTGGGGCAACTATGGGGGTGGAAGAGTCTAGTTCACTGCTCCAGCCTGGCTGTCCCAAGCACAGAGCAACATCCTTGGGTGCTTTCCAGGCAGGGCAGAATCACCTTCCTGACCAGGCACCTAAAACTCTGTATCTGTCCATGCTGCCCCTCCCATAGTCCAGGGGTCCTGGGTGGCTCACAGGTGAGGGGCTCCTGCTGACCCTGTTCCTCAGCACTCAGGAGACCCAGGGATCTTGAGGGCCAAGGCTGTGGGGAACAGACAGAGGATGGCGAGAAGAGACGGCCCCCATGCCTGGGAAGGACATCTTGGAGCACCACAACTTCACAAGGACTGGTGCACCCTCCTCAGAAAGACCTGGAGGGGCAGCCCCAGTCAGGGTGGGGCAGGATAGGGGAACCGATGCTCAACCAGACCCAGGACGGCGTCCCTGCTTCTCCCTGGGGTGACGGTCCAAAGACAGGGCCCAAGGACTCCACTACCAGCCCTGACCATCCTCAACCTGACCCCTCTAAGCCTGCCCGTCTGGAAAACATGGCCTCGGGCCGATAGGCCGCGTGGGCCGAAAGGCAGGGCAGGCCGCCATGGAGACGCCCTGGGAGGCGGAGAGGGCGGGATCAAAGGCCTCCAAGGCTGGCCAGGGCCTGCCAGGAGCCCTGAGGCCCACAATACTGGCGTCAGTGCCAAGGGCCCCTCCTGAGACCCTGGCTCAAAAGGCAAGGGCCCAGGGTTGGGGCAGACATGGGCTCTAGTCTCTGAGAGACCCTGAGCAGGCTGGGCACATGGTTTATTTGGGACAGGCGCTGGACCACTGCCAGGGTACTCATGGATGAGGAATGCTTGAGGACCCCCAGGAAGCAAGGGGCAGGGTGGCCAAAGCCTCGGCTGCTTCGGATTCCCTACAATGGGTCTAGTGACCCATTTTGAAGGCTGCCCAGGCCCCTCCCCACCCCCACCCACCTTCACAATCATACCCAAGGCCACCACCCCTTGTAGCAGGTTGCTCTGGGCATGCTGGGCATGGAGTTTTAAAGGGTTAATACAGTCCTGGTGGGAAGACCTCCCTCCCCTAAACTGTGAGGGAGAAGGGGGCTCTCTCCCTCCCCAATCCGGCAGGGATGCAAGAAGGGGTGCCCGCAGCAGCCGGCACCCCTCGGAGGCCACGTGCACCCAGCCCGTGCCTACCTTGGGGGAGTCAAGCGACTCCTGGCCGTTGGGGACGGTGACATTGAGGGGCATGGTGCGCTGGTTTGGCTGGCGTGGCCGCTTAGGCTCCCGCCGGGCCCCAACACCCCGGAGGAACGTGAGTTGCGGCCAGAGGAGGGCCACGGCTGCGGCCCACGCCCAGCCCCGCATGGCCTGTGGCTCCCAACACGGGCAGTGACCGGTTCAACGCTGGGACTTGGAGCCTGGTCCGCTCAGGGGCGCCGCAGCCGCAGCGCTGTGTACCCAGAGCCCCTGTGTTGGGGCAAAGCCCCAGGGCGCCCTTGCATGTCTGTGCAGAGACGGCACGCTCAGAAGGCTCCGATCCCCTCCGTCCCCAAGGCCCCCACAGCCGATCGGGTCTGCCCTGGCCACGCCGGCCCAGCCTGCTCTCCACACACTGCCCTCCTGGCTCCACCACCAAATAAATCCTCTGCTCCCTCCCAAACCTTGCCGGCTCCAAGGGGGAGGGCTCACGCGCCGATGATCCGTCAGCCGCCGCCGCCCCCAGGCCGCCCCAGAGGCGCCCGTGAGGGGGTGGGTACCAGGGACCCTCCTCACTTGACCCGAAGTTGGGCGGGGGCTGGGAGAAAACTGGCTGCACCTCCGCTCCTCCAGACCCTCCCTTCTAGTCCTTTAAGAACAGCCCTGCCCCCCACTCTTGCCCGGAGGGTCCTACTTAGTCTGGGACTTGGGCGGGGTCATCAACAGTTAACCTGCCCTACCCCCAGCCCGTCAAGCTCCAAGGTCCAATTTACTAATAACATGAGTTTCCCGCGCCTCCCCAGGTAGGGTGCCCTTGATGACATACTGACAGCCCCCTGCCCCGGCAGCCATGCGGCGCCAGAGAGGCAACAACCTCACAAGCCCCGCCCCTCCCACACCACACTACAGGCTTTCTAGAGCCTTCCTGACACAAACCCTAGGGTTCCTTGGGCAGGAGCCTAGCCTGGATGACCTTGGGCACCACACCTCCACCAGGAAGACTAACTGCCTCAAAGCACAGAAGTGGGGGACTGGTGGGATCCAAGACCTCACTGCCTTCACCACAACCTGTCTTTGTCATCCCCCTGCCACCCTGAGCTCCAATCCCCCCCACCCAGCCTTGACCACTCCTGTGGTTATGCATGGTCAGGGGACACTGTCCTGGGCAAGAGTGACCCCTGTCCAGGCACATGGCCTGTGGAGGTCTCTAAGGAGGCAGTGTTTCTGAGCCAGAGCCACCATAGGGGGTTCCTCCGCACAAACTAGCTGCAGGGAACAGGGCATTGGACTGTCAAGGGGGTCCTGTGGGCCGTGCCATGAAGCCCTTTGTGGGGGACAGACTGCTGGAGGAGGGTGGCTCCTGCAGCAGGTGGTTGAAGTGAGGTGAACACACCTCCCCATTGGTGAGGAGGAGTCTTCCATAGCCCCCATTTTCAGACATCTGCAAGAAGAGTGAAGGCAGCCAGGAGGCCATGTCCACTGGCCAACCTGCCCCTCTGCCCTCCTGGCTCCTGGAGCTGAGGTGACTCCAAGTGTTTCCCAGTGAACCGTTGGGAGATGAGACTTCAGCTACCGTGTGTTGGACCAGTTCTGGATCAACTGTGGACTGCTTGAAGGGCGGAAACCCAACCCATTGCCCACCTGCAGGGAGCCAGGCCTGTACCTCCTTAGTGACCTGGATCTTTGTTGGCAAAATGAGCCCCATCAGTCACCTCTTTGGCCAACTCCATGTTCACCTTTTCACAGCTGGTGTGACTGGCAAGCAGGGCTCTACTGCACTGAGGCCACCAAGGCCTTGCACAGTGACCAGTAAGGAAGGTGAAGCTCTCAGTATCACATACAGCTCCTTAGGGGAAAGCTAAAGACCTGGATAGACAGCTCCACCATGGGGAGGGGGTTAGCATTCCTGCCCCCAGGCCTCTGCTGATTCAAAATGCCCCTATCAACACCACCAGTCTTGTGAGCAGCGCCTGCTCAGATGGTATGGAGTGGACCCCAACCATCCGTCCATAGATGGCAACAGACTCCATAGGATGCTACAGAACAGACACCTGGTCCTCTGTCTGTCTTCTCAGGGTCCTCGAGATCATGGGACCCAGAGACCAGCTCCCTGAGAAATTCTCAAAGGGCTGAGAGGGGTTTCGCTCCTGCCCCAGGAGGCTGAGGTCCAGCTGCTTGTTCTTGTCACCCAACACTCCCATCCAGCCCCCAAACCCTCTTCACTCTGCTCAAAACCTCTCCCCTGAAGCCTCCTGCCCCTCGTGACACCCCTGCCCTAGAGATGTGGACCGAGTGAGTCCCCCTCCCCGACAGCCAGAGCCTCCATGGCCAGCCTTGTGTTGGACCTGCTGGACTTGAGTCATTAATCCTTGTTGGCACCGGAACCACCCTTCTCCCCAGGAGCAGCACCACTTGCTTTAGAAAGGGCTTCTCATCTGACACACACCTGAGGATGGCGCCACCTATTTTGCATAAGTTTCCTAGTAGAGCTACAAGAAACCTTAGCTGTACCTGTCCCCAAAGTAACTCCCACCAAGTACAGGGTGCAGGTTCCCGCCAGATGGGCGAGGTCCTACTGGTCACTAAGGACAGCTTGTGACCAGGTGATGATCCTAGGCTCCATTCATACAGGGAACCCCAACCCTGACTCAAGACTTGAATTAGAGACCCACACCCAGGAAAGGAGCACCTGCAGCTACCTGAATGCCCAGCCACTCAGTATTCTCGCTGAAGTTTCTGGAAACACTTTTGGGCTTACCCGATCCCAGAGAGGCAGGGCTACTGCTGAGCAGGGGCGGGGTCGGGGAGACCCTGCTAAAGAGCTCTATTTGCTGCAGCAGCCAAGCCACAGCTTCACACAGGGGAGTGCATGCATGGCCCCCAACCAGTGTCCACTTCTCTTGATGTCCGGCTGGTTACCATGGAGGTTCAAGAAGGTCCTGGAGAGCGTCCACTGTAGACAAACTATCCTGTGTAGGGCAGCAGGCTGGACACCAAAGTGCCACAGGCAGGTCACCCCCCAACTCCAGGCCCACAAAGGGTTTGCAGCGCTTTCAAGTTTACACAACTAGCCATGAGCTGAGACACGCACACACAAGCAAAGCACAATTATTGTATGCTGCCGACCCTGTGTAGGGTTTCTGTGGCTGGAAATCTTTGTGAGAGCAAAGCCTTATCTTTCTCCCACAGAGCAGCTGGTAGTTTGTAGTCTAGTGTTTATCCCACAGATGCCATGCTCCTGCAAGGCCTGCAGATCCCTAGGGCCCAAAATAGGAAGAGATACAATATATCTTTTGACAAGAGTGGGTTAAATATGTACAAGTGGTAAATGCATTGTTGTTAAGTGCCATCAAGTCTGTCCGACTCATAGCGACCCTGTATAGGTTTTCAGAGGAGCAGGTGATGAGTTTGAACTGCCGACCTTACCGTTTAAACCAGCCTTAAGGTCAAGTGCTTATCCTACAGCTCCACACCAGGAACAGAGCAATTTAAAACAGTCAAAACCCAAAAAAAGTCAGTAATTCATAGACACTAACTGTCCTTCAAATTCTCCATCTTGAAAGACTCATCTACTCATCTCCTACACAGAAGTGCCACCACCATGCACTGGACCCTCAGGCCATGGGGTGGACACACTCACCTGACATCTCACCCAGTGGGTAAAAGCCATGACACCACCTCCCACCCATGCTCACAGGCAACCCTGACCTCCCACCTGAGCCCACAACCCACCCAAACCTCCCCACCCAGGAGACACAGCCCACCCCAACCTTCCCACTTGTTAAGACACAGCCCACGCTATTTTCCCCATTTGGGGGGCACAGCCCACCCTGACTGTATCCCAGTCCATGGCAAACACAGGATCAAAGAAGTTCTGGGGAGTACCCCCAGGAGGCAGCCTTACTGAGGGGACAGACACAGAGAAAAGGCTGCAAGAAAGACAGAGGGCAGTTCTTGGACAGAGATTCTGGCGGCAGCAGTCCAGCCCTATGCCTACTTCACGCGGCTGGAGAAAACGCGTTCCTTGGGGAATAGCGACCCCTAGCGGCCAGAGTGGCAGACCTCCACAGCATCAGTTGTAGACTGAAAACTCTTCTAAACATGGCAAGGTCTCCCCAGGTCTCTTGTCTGCCAGGGCTACTCCCATAGTTGAATGAGCCCCCAACCCCCAAACTCATTAAAATACCATTTAGCAAACACTTGCCAGCACCAAGCCCACCACCCTCACTTCATTAATGACTCTACCTCACCAGCAGCCAGGACAGGGGCACTGAAGCTCAGGGAGACACACAGGGAATGTAAGGGCACCAGGAAGATATGGAGGACACACAAGGGGTTAGGGAGAGGCACCAGGAGCTCATGAAGGACACGTGGGGAAACAGGTCCTCCAAGTGGTCATCGATCAAAAGGGCCCACTGGACTAAGATACACACAAAATATTTGATAGGCTTTGAGATTTATATTTTCTTAAGTGACCAAATCTAATAAAATGAAAAACATGTTTACTAAAACAAGTCCAAAGACAAAACAGGAAATGTGCTATAAAAATCAAAGCGAGACGGCCCCCGTGTTGGACAGTGCCACACGTCAGACACGCTCCGAGCAGCTCCCTGGCTGCCTGATGATACCGCTGGGAGACACACCTCCTCCTCAACCACCCTTGGGTTTTGTCCTCCTTTTCCAGGTTTTAAAGAGCTAAACGTGGGAGTCAGGGAGGCACCGTGCCTGGCCACATGTCTGCTTGCCCGTGCGGCCCTGCTGCTTTCCGTGCTTGGCCTGGCCACCCTGTGGACACGATGTGCTGTCACTCCTGCGCTATGCTCCGCAGCACGTACTTGACTGTGTAGGCGAAGGCAGCAAACCCCACGATGACAAACAAGTTCGCCAGCGCTCCTCCCAGGAGTCCGTGGTGGCGGTTGGCCTGCTGCAGTCCTGGGGGATTCGGCCCAGCGGCTGGCGCGTGCCCATTGAGCAGTGGGGCCCCATGCTGGCCAAGGTGGGCCTCGCCATCAGGGACCACATCTGGCAGGGGCAGGGTCGGGGGCCTGCTGCTGAGCTCGTCCTGGGCTTTCTGCTTCTGCTTAATTTCCTGAGAGAGAAAAAAGGCGGTGGTCTGAAAAGCGAGTTGTGTCACGCCTGGGGGTCATGGGAGAAAAGATGGTGATAAC